CAAATGCCTGTGTTGTATATGCAAGCATATGCTTGTGTATATAAGGTTTTCAGACAACAGCAGGTTTTCCTACAACAGTAGGTTTTACTCAATGGCAGGTATGAGGGGCCCCAGACCCGCCCTAAAGAGAGAGGGTTGCCAAAATTTGTGTTTCTCATAATGATTCAAATTATTTGAGAGAAATCCAACCAATATACATGAAGCTTTACTTACATTTATTCTTTCACTTTTATAATTTTATTCTCTATTATATAGCATGATTTGTCAATATCGGTTTGACCCAAAGTATTTGTAATTGTATCTTTTAAAATATAAATAATATTCAATTCATCAGCAATCTGTACAGTTTGGTAATAAAATCTACATGATGGATTTTATCTTGCTCATTACAGTGTCTTTTGATACTAGAAAGGCACCTGCAGAGCTCAGACTTCTGCCAAGCAGCAAATTTTGCTCAATATAGAATTCAACTTTATAGTCATTACACCATCACAAGTAGTGAGCAACAAAATTCACTCTCTGCATTTAACCGATCCCCTTGGGGAGCAGTGGGCTGCCATTGTGCGGCGTACGTGTAGCAGTGTAGGGTTAAGGCTCTTGCTCAAGGAGTCAGAGTGCAGGCTGTGGGGTCGAACCAGGTAACAAGGTACTTACAACTTTCTCAGAGCTTGAGCGTGTTGCTCTAACCCCTAGGCCAACACTCCCCAAGTCTGACTTACACCTATGTATAAAACTCGCACACAATCTGGATCGTTACCAAATTTTAAAAAATTCTTCCTTTAGATCCACCTTTGGTAACAATTTCCTTAAAATCCCTTAATAATTTTATAAATAAAGCACATCATATGTCTGCAGCCTCAGGTGTTTGTTCTGTTCTCAACTTCTTCATTCACTCTGCTTTCTTGTTTGACCAGCAGATTGAAACTTCCAGTGTAGCATAGCTCACCGTTCCTGTATTTTTGCCTTCAGTATAGTACTTCTGGACTTTTTGTGTCTGATACTAAAGCTGTGATTGGTCACTGCTGCCACTCTCTAGTTAAGCGAGGAACTGCTTGTTCTGCCAAATAATGTTATAGAATCCTTAAAAAAAATATTTAATGGATGGTTCTTGAAATGAGGTTCACATTTGGTAAAGATTTCATCACCTGAAAAATGTAATATTTGAAATAATAAATTGTTGAGTTTGATGTTTGGCGTCAAGAAGTGAAAGTGGCTACAATTTTGTGTTAGCTCTTACTGTTGTTCAAACAAGAAAATCCCATGAGGGTCCTCCTTAATTTTGATATTTTCTCACAATGCCAGACTTGGATGAGACTCATCTCCTCAGCTTTTCACTGAGTTCATGCTGCACCCTGCAGGACTCTGGCCTTTCCGTTACCCATTTCTGTTCTGGATAGTCTGTGACCATCTGTCTGCAGGATTAAAGCATCGCACAACATGGCTTTATCTTTGCTAACTTTGCAGTTGATATCTCTTTGTCTTGTTTTCCATCCAGTATTGAGTCTTATATCACACACTAACTTGTGACATAGAACCTTTAATGGTGGCCTACAATAAAACCTCCCAACTTTAAACTCCTGATTTATCAATATAAACCTCAGAATCAAAATTCTGTGTATTTTAGAATTTTTATCATGTACATAAACAAGGTGGAAAGGAAATAAACTGCCTGAACCTGAGATGTGCAGCACTAAAGGAAAGTGGTTTGATTCCCACTCACTGAGTCCTGCATTCAGGCGCGCTGGAAGCTGTTTGTCGCCAAAAACTGCCATTTAAAATGCATCGGAACAAAGCATGAACATTTGAAACTTTTTTTCTTCTCTTTTAATCATTCAAAACAAACAACAGCTCCCAATCAAGAGGATCAGGAATACTTGAATGAAACATGGCCTAAATTTAGCCTAAACTGAGCATTGAACGTCTTGAAAGTCCATTCGACTATGGATATGGGGGAATAATTTCATATCTGAAACAAAAAACACACACAAAAATAAA